GAGGTGAAACGCGAGAATATTCACTTAAGAAAATCGTGATGTCTACTAGTCATATTCTCCATTCTGAATTTATGTCACTCGTACCTGGCATGACACGCTAGAATTATCCGTTTAAGTTCCATGATTAATAGCAAGATATAAGCTTAGGATAATCGGCGCAACTATAGTCATTCCGTGATGAAATGCCAGGTCGTGCGTGTGTTAGTTTTAATGGAACGTTTCATTTGGAAAAGCCAACGTCCGCAGGAGGAGAAGTCGCGATCATTTCCTCAGATAACGAGAGAATAATTTCCTTAAGCCATTGGGGTATCGCATACTCTCCAGCTCGTTGGTGGTTCTCGCAAGCGTCCGCCACACGGCTACATTCGCCACCGATTTCCTTCTTCGTGCTATTGCATTCGTGGTATTTCGAGAAATCTCCTCTTACTTTTTCAGAAAGATTCACGTCACATATTCGCAGATCTGTAGGAGTGAGAGTTAAAGGAGGTTGCAAGGACATAAAACACATATATTAATATTTACGCTTTAAACAAACTACATATACATGTGAAAGTTGTGTTCATAACATTCTGTTTTTATTGAGCAACAGATTTTCATAGATTATTTATTTTATTCGATATTAGTTTTATTGTTATAAATAAAAATTTTTTTAATAATAACGAAAATCTAAATTTTTTTATATGTACACGTATCAATATTTTAAGTAAAATACTAAAAATTACTCATGCAAAGTTTCATTGAGATTCACCAATTAGTTTATAACAAATAAATATTTTGTTTATTTACTGAACAATTAATATCTGCATCTCAATGTAACTTTACATAAATATTTTTGAATTCTTTACATAAAGTACTTATATAACAAAAATTGATCATTTTATTTTATAATACATTTTCATATATTTCTATTAGCGTATGTACAAATTTAAAAAATATTACTTTTTATTGAAATAACTTTTGATTCAGATTATCAACTGTCTCTAATTTTTTTGTATTACTTTTAAATGCAATTTAGAATAATCTGTAATTTTTGCAAGTAATGCTTAACATATTACAATTGCCTTACAATCTCCTTAAAAGTCGCTTCGATCATCGTTGCGACGCAGTGAACAGGACTCCACGTACGTTGATTGTTAGATAAATTTTCAAGCGTCGTTAAATTTGATTAGATCACGATGATTGTTTTCATTGTTTCATTTACTTTGCTATCTCGATGCCTTGGACCTTGGCCAACATGTTTCAAAGACAAAGATCTTTAAATAAAAGATCTTATTTAAATTGTTTAGGACTTTCCTCTCACTAATAGTGGAAATCTGTTTCCTCTGGGGCGGGATTGATCTATGTATGCAAGCTCGTTGACGCAGCAAATATTTAATGGTGATTAATCACGTCTCGCGTAAATAAGTACGTTGTAATTATCTTGCGAAACTCGACATACGAGTTGCCGACTTGAATGCGAAAGGATAGAAAAAAGCGAAAATTATAAACGTGTTCTTACGGGTCATGTAATTAGAGACAGCTCGAACTAATTGACAGTACGTACAACTTCAGGATTAAGATTTCTGGACGACCTTGAACTTCCTTATGCACAGAACAGTTTCACTGAAGTACTTAAAATTTTAACTAGATACAAATCTGAAAATAATTATACTGAAATATTTAAATAATCAAATTGTTACATTCATAATGTAAAATTGAATCCAATTTGAGTATCTATTATCTTTAATCATTTCTATAGATTGCTCATTGCTTCTACTCAATATGTCGTTGATTTAACTAAAACAATGGAGTTAAACAATTTAACAAAAGAAACGTATTAAATTTGACACAAATTTAGTTTATTATTTATTAAATAATACGTTCATATGGACGTCGTTTATTTTAAAATTAAGCAATTCAATTACAGAAGTCGATTTACTTTTTCATGTACATGGAAAATAAAAATAACAAAATGTTATTTAACTCAAGGAATTAGGTTACCATTGAGCCTTTGATGTCTAATAGCACATTGTGCTATTAGGTCTAATAGAACATTACTTATCGACTCTTTGACGTCAAAACGATGTTATTTAATTAAATGATAATGCTGCAAAAATTTTGATTTTCTAATGACCTTCTTCTCACTTAGCAAGCTGACGTTATTTATTATTATTTTGATATCGAAATGACAATAAGTAACTCGCTGCTTGAAAAGCTTTGGTTGCTGGGATGTCAAAACGTTTTGCAGCATTGTCAATAAATATGTAGGACGCTTGAGAGTTCTGCATAATTATTTTGTGATTTGTATACTGTTAAATATCAAAGGACAATAGTAACTCTAAATTCTACTCTTTGAATGTTGTTTATATTTTGAAACTAAGCATGTAACCAGAAATGGATTGATTTACATCTTAATACGCATGGAAGTTAAAAATAATATTTTAGATAATAAACAACGTTCATATTAGCATATGCACTTTCAATTAGTAAATAATAAACTAAATTTGAGTCAAATTTAATACATTTATTGAGTTAAATTGTTTAACTTCATTGTTTTTAATTAAATTAACGTATTAAGTAGAAGCAGCGACGACCTATAGAAATTATTAAAAATAACTCAAATTGAATATAATTTGACATAAATTGAACAGTATATCTAACTGAATTTTTATATTTCAATAAAACGATTCTTTCCATATAGGAATCGTAGTAGATCAGTGTTGCCGTAATCAATTTACGTTCAGCTCCATTAGTTTAAGGCTTGACTAGATGTCTGGTATGATTTGTGCCTTGCAATAGAAGGTCCGCGTGAATATACGCCTACGTAGACATAGGCTTGTCTCCCGGAGAAAGTCGCGTTACTCGCCTGTCTTTATCTATATATGTCTACAGTTGCCGTTCTTTTCCTCACCGCACGCGCGCACATATTTCCGAAATCTTCGAAGCTATCGTGAGAGTGCTCTCAGTACGAGAAAGCATTTTTATATGAATCGCGCGGATTGGACGCTTGAAATTCAATTTTGTAGTTCCGTAAATCAATTTCGAAATTCTTCCAGATGTACTCTGTGTATTGCGAACGCGTGATAAGTAGCTAGATACGAGGTGAACAGATACAAAACTCGTCAAAAAATTGCACATTAATTGGAATTATTTTTAATTATTTCTATTTATATATAGATCACAATTCCTACTTAATTTGTCGTTAATTTAATTAAAATAATGGAGTTAAATAATTTTACTTAAAAAAATATATTAAATTTGACTCAAATACAGTTTATTGTTCACTATATGCATACGTTAATGTAGAAGTTGCTTATTTTGGAATTAACCACAGAAATGGATTAATTTACATTTTGACATATGCACATGAAAGTTAAAACAAAATATTATTTAACTCAAGGGCTTAAGTTATCATTGCTCCTTTGATATATATAATGGTATAGGAAATGTATCATTAAATATTATATTCTATTTAAAAAGAAGACGTTTTAGCTTAACAAACAAGTTGATGTTATTTTGACTTCAAAATAAGGTCTTTGACGACATTTTGACGTCAAAATGATAACAAATAAGTCAGTTTGTTTCCTAGAAGCATTCTAGAACCATATTCTTGAAAAATATTGCACATAAAAATATTATAGTATACGATTACATATATACGTGTATATTGCTCAAGGTTTTCCTAGTATCTTCGTACGCGATTTTTTTAAAATAAGTCCTCTGTATTAGAAATTTTTTATAGTAAAGAATAAAAGGAGCATTATTAATACATTGACAAATAAATCGTATTGCAGCACTGCAAATAAAAAGCTATGCAATCGGACACGCGTCGTGATTTTCGAACACGTGTTCTGAATCGGAATCGTCTTAAGAGCGACGCACTCATGCGTCGCATAAACGGTGTTTTCCAACGCGACATGAGTAGTTAAGTGCCTAAGAAAGTTAGCTGACAAATTATATATATATATATATATATATATATAAATAAACTTGAATAATATATCACTAAATAAATTAGATATACATGCGTGTCGGATGACTCATGTAATTACATGACATCATTTTGTCAAGGTCGTGATAATAATGTAACTACTTTTACGTTAAAATATTTTGTAAATAGGAAAGAATCTTTGCAAATATTTGTAAACTTCCTTTAATTATTTTCTGATTGTGTGAAAGTTTTAAGAAATAAATGTGAGTGTTGTTTACCAATCGTATTAAGACTTGGGTTTATTGAGTTTTACAGTCTTAAAAATATTTTTTTATTGTAAGCTCGTGCACAGTTTATAACTTGTCATACACTAAAAGAAAAAATTATTGCATCGACTGTAACTTAATTATAATTTATAATCATTTTTGTGCCAACTATATACTGTTTTTGTAGAACTATAAATATAATTATTATTATTACTAACATTCTAGCAGCAATAATTATAAAAATGGAATTTCTAATCATAATTATTTTGTCATATAATTATAATCATAAATATCAAATATTTTTTTCTCTCACACTCAAAGAAAAAATGTAGCAATCACATATAGAGGTGACAACTATTCAAGTTTTATATGTAGAATTAATACATATATATAATTAAATAAACTATTTTATAATTATTGCCACTATAAAATAGTTTATTTAACCTTTTTTTGTATATTATGTCTACATATAATTTCAAATAATTGCTATAACTATGTATTTCTCTGCACGGAAAAAACAACTTTGAAAATTTAGATACAGATCTGAAAATAATTTGGTCGGACTATCAAAATAATTATGTAAGAAACTCAAGCATGGTGAGTAATGCTGCAAAAAAATGACATTGTAGCAATCAGTTTGGACGTCAATTATTTTGATAGTCGAACAAAATTTATTTTTATCTGTATCTACATTTTTTTGCTTCATAAAACCGTTCTTTCCATATGAGTGCAGTGCATGACGTTCAAGTCAGTGTTTCTCTTCTGTCACGCATATTCGATTTTAATTTCAACGTTGATACGACGAATCCATGTAATCAACTCACATTTTCGCAGCCGTTCTCTCATGTCACGCGACCGTCGTCCTGTCTATCGGTCCATCTTGCAGAAATTTCTCACGCAGCCGTTTAAATAGTAGTCGCGTATATCCACGTGGTCTTCGTAAACCTAGTACTCAAAGCTCACATCACCCTAGCGAACCTCTCTGTGGATCCAGCGTGTCCGATACGATATTTTGCTGACAGTCAATGCGGAACTCTGCCTTCGTTCTTCGTTCAGGAGAGAGAACGGCGAGGAAAAGTGCGAGCTGCAGCTCGTTCCGTTGACGTATTCGAGAGAGGAACGGAACGTTGCGCGGTGAGAGGCCGGCACTCGACTGTTCGAATGCACAGTGGATTCGCAACCTGCTCCGGAATACCTGTCTGCCCACCACCGGATAGACTATCAGGTACCGAGGTTTATTCGGGGGTATGTGACGGGTCCCGTCGGATCGTGATCTGAGTGAACGTCAGGAGAGGGAACCTCTGTTATTTTTTATGAAAAACTCTGTGGGTGGAAAGAGAAAGACGAGGAAAATTACCAACACTGAATTACCTTGCTTATTAAAGATCAAGAAGTAAAACAAACCAATCTACGAGTCAAACGTAGACGACGTGGCGATAGAAAACGTGAAGTGAATGCGGAACTTGGTTGCCAAGCAGCAATGACTTTGGGATAAATTATATATTACTTCCTGTATGTTTTTTTCAATTTGTTAATTTCATCTTTTTTACTTTTGGACAGCTCTTATTTCAAGTCTGTGATAGACATTCAAGTACGTACTGAAAGCATATTACAATAAAAAATTTTGATATTTTTTTCTAGTAATTTATTCAGAGAATATTGCCTTTGATAAATCAAATATCGGGATAAAATCACAATATTTTACGAAATATTTCTACATGAATTTTTTGTATGTACACTTAAAAATAATCCTTAAGAATAATCCATAATAGAATCCTGATGAAAAAAATTCTGATAATATCACACAATATTTTTAAGAACATTTTTGTATTTTAAATTAGGTAGATTTCCGAAAAAAGTATCTTAACCTTCTTCAAGAGAAAAAAATCTTAAAAATCTTATAGAATGTTTTAGAATTCATATACAAGAATTTTAGAAAAAAAATGTAGACTTTTTCATTACTTCTAAAGTGTAAAAATTCGTATAAAAAATTTGAAAAATTTTCTAAAAAGTTATAGGATTACAGAAATTCTAATGAATGCTAAAATTCATATAAAAATTTTGAAAAAATTATTTAAAAAGTTCTGAAAAATATTCTAAAAAATTATCACCAGGGAATTGTTTACAAACTTACTTTATATCTAATATATTATGTAATGAATTGTATGTATAAATATGTGTTGGTTTGAAATTAAATAATTCACATATTATATTAAAAGTCTAACTTAGAGTTCGCTCACTAAATTTTAACTTAGAACATTGTCTTTCAGATCTCATTTCTTCTTAAATGAATTATGTTTGTTAAATCTAGTTCGATCATAAAACTTTAGGGACGAATCCTTTAACTAAATGGATCGACTCGACTCATATTTACCCTTTTGTAGAATTTTCTATAAATTTTCGTAGCTCATTTGGTATGCGAAAATAGTATACGTGCCCGGCCCACTTTGCGTTGCGGCCTACTTTTGCTTAATTCAATGCGACAAACGAGATTACGAAATTACCATCAGAACGTCTCTATCATCTGTATACAATAAAACAATCAAATGTTACACAATACTAACGCATTAATTGTCTTAAATGTGCTACTAGTTTTAGAAGTATTTTTTCATGCATTCAAAACATTTATTATTTCTTTTCTCTCGTCTCATAACATCTCTCATTTCTTTTTTCCATATTAGAAACCTTGGTCATAAAATTTATTGCGCGATGCCATGCGTCGTTTGTTACGCCATTGTCACTATTAAGTCCACCATGAGTGAACAAAGTGGGATTGACGCTTTTACGGTCACAAATTACGGGGTCAGCGACAATTTACTGATGTGACGACGACATTACACAAAAGCGTCCGGCGAAGTAGAGACAGAAAAAGAAATAAAAAGAGGGAGAGAGACAGAGAAAGACCCCGGGCGCATAATGACAGTGAAAGGATCGTGACTTTGCCATTGGCTGCGAGGGAAACCGGCGCTATTATATGCGATTCGTGCTGGGCTCGCGATCGGCTGTTCACCTATGACAGTCGCAAAATAAGCAGCTCGGATCGAAACGGAATTTCCGGAGATTAAATGTCATCCGCGTGAAGTCGATTCCCCTGGGGATTACGAAGACAAGCGTTCAATTTATGGCAATTATTCTTAGAACTCCACGTAGAATAATGGCATTATATAGACTGAGAGGATACTTTTCCTATATGGCATTATAAATATTCTTTTTTATCTCTAGCTTTCATAAGAAAGGATAAATGGAAAAATTTCTATAGCCTTCAACATTCTATCGTTCATTTCCTTCGCGCAGCTAACGAGTTCTACATATTTCTATAAGGCTATAACGAGAAGATCGTTGACTTTTATCGTTGATCTTATTGTGAGCAAAATTTGAAACTAGTATAATTTCAGCGATTTTTTGTGAAATTTTTTATTAGTTTTCATGCTACGGATAGGGCAGAATTCATTCTTACGATACTTTCCGTAAACAAGAGTCTTTTCATTTAGATATATCTCGCGAAATTCAATCATGTTAACGAAATTATACTTGCTTCAATCCTTGATTGTGAGAAAAAGTGAATAATACATGGATTTTATTGGTCCTTCATATGGAATTTGTGTTGTGTTCCATGTTGCGACAATTATCCGTGGTCAGAATCTCAGGTTTGTTAGTGATTAGCGCTTTCGTGTCGTCCGGACACAGCGTGATCCTGAAAAAAAAATGAAAAATGGAGTTATGAAAAATGGCAGTCAATTTACGTAATTCTATCTAGAAGCTCCATCTAATATAATTATGTAGTTATTTCTGCGCAATTGTATAAGTAATTACGCTGTGTAATAATTAATGCGACTATATGTATGTCAAATTTTATAAATGTCAGCAACTCGTTTATCGCGTCGTTTCAACTTTTTTCCTTTCATCGCTGTAAAAACATTCGCGCATAATAAAAATGTACGGGAGATAAGTTGAAGCGGCTATAAAGCCGAGAAGAAGTTATAAAGATGTAACGTGCAAAAGATACAAGAGAGATTTACAATTATTTTTTTAAGAATATGCTAGATGTATAGGTTTGTAAAAAATGATTGAAATTGGAAATTTATACTTTTCGATAAAAATGATTAATATTACATACATAATGAAACAGTTCAATAAAGTTAACAGATTTAACATTTAATAATATAATCTTATAGTTTGAATGAAAATTTTACCATTTATCTTTAATACACTAATTTACAAAAAATGATTTTTTTTTATTTTGAACCACAAAGTATTTCTTATAGATTGTTGAATGCTGAAAAAAATGCTTTAACTAAATTTCATTTGAATGTCAGATTTTCAAAATAATCGAAGTTAATATGCAAAAATTTTTTTTGTGACACTGACATTTTTTTTAAGAAAAGTTTATGACTTCTAATTATAATTTCAAGATAACGTTAAATTTTTTTACAAAAAAATTGCAAACAACCATTCTTTGCACCTTAAACCTTACAATCACTTTGGAAATACAATAAAGAAAAATTTTTAATTTTTTCTTAATTCTTTCATTTTGTTAAAAAAATATGTGTAATATATCCTTAATCTTTGCACTCGAAACATCGCGTTCAAGAATTCTTGTGGCATATGATTCCGATCTTTTTCACTAGATATTACTTCTTCGACAACACACAAGCCGCGAGATAAGCGGAATTTCTCACCCATAATCAGTCTCCAAGTTTTTTATAGTCAGCATGTCGATGTATACCCGTGGCGTGTGGAACAGTCTCCATGTCAGTGGGTTCCAGACTCGGGTCTCATATTTCCAGGTAATTTCTACTGAATGTGGCTTCCCGACAACGTCGCCGGGCAGTACGATGGTGTGCGTGCTACCAGGCTCGTAGTACTTCGAGGATGGACTCAGCTGCATCTCTTCGGTCTTTTTACCGTTTACGCCAATCACGCGTACAACGAATAACCCGACCTCTCCGCCGTGTAACAAACTTTCGTCCGTCTTTGAGATATTTATCGTCAGCTTGTAGTGAGCTTCTGTAATTTGGAGGAACGGCATTCCATTTATTTGAATTCCAGTTTCAGTACGTCTATAAAGACAAATGGATTGTGTGACCCGCGTTTAATTTCAGTTTTGCAAAATTAATATTTCTCTGCCAGTTTTGGAAGGCACAGTCGATATTTTGATTTAAATTTTGGTAGATATATAAAGAACTTTACACTAGTCACATGGAAAAATCAATTAATCAAATTGACTGAGACTGTAATATATATTTTGTAACTTATAAAATGTTGATTAAAAGTTTCTAGAAACAATCACAAAAAATGAACAGATTTTGCTGTAGCACCATTTCAAAGTTGCTACTTTGGATCTAATCGATGCTGAAAAATATTTTTATCTACAATATACATTTCGTTTTTGCATATGAGTATTGCAGAGTCCTTTAAATCTGCAAAAATAAGAAAAAAATAAATTCAACTTCTACTAGTAAAAATTCATTGTTAACGCTTTCACAGGTATGCAAGAATTTTTTCAGATTTTTGCAGTCTAGAATAGAGTGGCGCTTAAATAATTAAAATTAGATAAAGATAGAATAAATTACATATAAACATATTTTACATAAGATAAAGATGATTTGCTAACATTTATTTTATCTAAACTAAAGATGAAGATAATACACATTTTAATAATGTAGATTAAAAAAAGATAAAACAATTTCAAATATTTGTATTAGATAATAATATCTAATCTGAGTAATTATTTAGAGAATCATTTATATTAGATAATTTTATCTAGATAATGGTAAATACTGATCTAACATAATGTAAAAATCTACACTGGAGCTAAAACCAAGTGCTGTGTCCACGACTTTTTGGTTCTTCCGTGCATCTATGAGTGTTATTTTTTAGTTCTCTTCTGTTATATCCATTTCATTCTTGAATGAAGCATGGAAGAAAATTAAAAAATCGTGGTCATAGTACGAAAGAGAATCACAAAATTAGTAAAATGGCACGAAAGAGAATCACGGAAAAGAATCAAAATATACTTTACTGACGGAAGATATAAAATTTCACATAGATATAGAGACCGATAAAAGGGTACAAATGAATTGTTACTAACTACAGAATGGTTTATCCGATCCGGTCATCAGATACACAGATGCGTGGTAATTTCCAGGCTGAGCATCCAGTCCGAATGTAGGACAATATTGGTTTACGCAGTCGAAACAGCTACCCTCTTGGAATTTGTTCCACGAGCTGCACGGCACGGCTAAGAATGGGCACGGTGTATTTATGCTTTCAATGAAGTACTCGTAGCTACGGATATGATTGCATCCTAGAAACCTTTTAATGCCTGAAAAAAAGTGTTTCAGGTTTGAATTTGGATATATTTTGTTAAAAATTATTAAAAATTTATTATTTATATTGAAAATGATTAAAACTGCTATAATCGCACTGTAACAACACAATTATTAAAATTCTACACAAATGTTACTTATTTTAGATATCTAAAAGTCAAAGAGAATGTTAACAATCATTAAAAGTATGAAGTATTATATTAGATTATTAATATTTTTATATTCTTTTATTTTATTATAAAAGCGTATTTCGAACTGTGATTAAATAAATCAGAAACTTACCACGAATGAAACTGCCGCGTTCCAAAGTGATGGAATTCAGCACACCCTCATTACAGCCAGGCTGATTGCGACCGCTGTTAGGATAGAAATCAATGTGACCAACGGGTTGGCTAATGCCTAGGCCACCGCTAATAAAGAGATCACAATCGGTATGAATGGCTGTCACGAAGTTTGCGTCCGTTGGATCAAGCCGGACCATCGGATGTGTGTTGCTAAAGTGAGGTTCCGCCGGATCAAGACCTTGAGGGGAGAAATTGTAACGTAACAAGGTGTTAGCGTAAACAACCATTTCGTCAATCGAAATTGGCAACCGAAATCGGCGCACGAGTTTGGCAAGGACCACGCAAATACGATGCGTCGTCAATGGAATAAATTTGTAATAAAGAGAACGAATTCTGCATTGAAATCGGGCGTTAGCTGAACAAAGAATTGTTGATTCTTTTAGGACTTCTACAGAGATTTATCGTATTTTTTTCTTTCGCTTATGTGTGATTTAAATTTTGGCGAATATACACACATATTATATATGTGTATAAAAATATATGTGCATACATCGAATATATATGTATAATATTTTTTATAATAATTATTACAATTATATTATACATTTATAATTATAATATATAATTACGTACTTATAATATTTATATGTAT